GGCCCCTAGGGGCCCTGGGGGGTGACGACCAAAATCTGTGGCCTGGGCCTGTCTGGTTGGCTGGGGAGCTGGCTCACGAAAGTCCCTGCTGGGTCTCCGTTGCGCAGCACGAGGATAAGGACCTACAGGTCGAACGAAACCCTGAGGTGGTGGCCGAGGGTTGGGGCCAGCTGATGGAAGCCTCAGGTTACGAGGAGATGGAGGCACACTCCTGTTAAGGCCTGAAAGCTGCTGCCTAGGCTGTTGTGCCTGGACAGTACATTCCAGGGCTTCCACTGTCGCAGAGCCAAACAACTCCCCTGGCACCACAGGAACATTACGGAGGGTCCTCCGGCATGTCTCAGTAAACGTGGACTGAGCCAGCCAGACCTGTCTGCGAGCCTGAACCAGGTAGGACATCACACGTCCAAGCTCCCTTGTCATAAGTGCAAAGGCCTGAAGCGCTGCAGAACTAAAGCCGGTGGCAGTGTTTGTCCTATTAGCATCCTGAAGGGATGCGGAAAGGGCAAACATGAGGTGTGCCATAGAGTTGCCAAGGTGGCCAGCACGTGCTCCTGAATTATAAGCCTTACAGATGAAGTCATCTGTAATGCGACATTGGGGCCGCGGGCACCAAACACCATGACGCAGAGCCTCATCCGGTGGCACAATGAGCGAGGCAACTGCAGGTTCAACTGAAGGCATTTGATCCAAGCCTTCCTTGACCGCGTCATGCATAGCTGCCAACACCCGACCATCTGTGTCGAGGCGCGAAAAGGCCCTAGGGTTCCGCCAACAGGCATGCAACTCCCTCAGGTACTCCTCTGATGGAGGAACCGAAAAGGGGGTGGGGGCCCGCCCTCTTCTGAAAAAGGCACTTGCAGGGGTGGACTCTTCCACCTTCGGACATTTAGCTGTAACTGATTTAGAGCCAGACGCATAATATCCTGCATAGCAGGATATTATAGCAGAGCCATCACCTGACGCACTAGAAGCACCTTGAGACGAGGAGCATGAGCCCGTCTCCGAAGCGTGGGACGACTGCACCCCCTCCTCACTTCTAAAGTGAGAGGCAGAGGCTGCCAAACCGCCCTAGTAAACTCAGGCATGGTTGAGGACCCTGTTGGTCCACCCAGCTGGCGTGTCTAAAAAATAGATTTCATTTCTGCCAAATCTGCAGACAGCTGTGCAACCTGCCTGGAAAGGCCCTGATCAGGTTTGACCCGCCTCTTTTTAGAAGGGGCGACAGCGACTGTGGTAGTCTTGCGCTTAGAGCGCCTAGGCGCGGCCACCTGACCAGAAGGGGGAAGACTAACATCATGCTCGGGGTCCAATTGGGCCAGCCGAGCCACTCTCACTGCGCGGGGCATATTACTGCAATTCATGCAAGGGTTCTTGGACAGGGCCTCTACCAGATGGTCATGTCTGAGGCAGGCAGGGCACAGATTGTGGCCATCCTCCGCCTCAAGCCCAGCTCCACAACTCGCACAACAGTGGGAGCCGTCCATGCTCACAAAATACATAAGGACCCAGAAAGGCTAACAGCGTTAGCTCAATTAAGCAAAACACAAGCTGAATAAGTTGGGAGCAGGAGCAAAAATGCTGCCTTCACCAATAAATTCACACATTAACTTAAGAAGGCTAACACCGTTAGCTCAACTAATCAAAACTCAAGCTGAATAAGTTGGGAGAGGAGACGAGAACTCTGCCATTCACCAACAAATTCACTCATCAAACTTAGCAACAGTGATAAGAAAAAGAAACGCTGCAAGTTGGGGAACCAGGGGAAAAACGCCGTCACCCCAGCAAAACAGCGGATACCTCTTTGTTTTTAAGACAAGTCTGTCGCGGTCCCTTGGAGAGTGATACACCGCTACTCAAGTCAACTGGCAATCGGGACGTCCAAACAATGGCGAAATATTACACAAGAGAAACGAAACGTATGCGAGAAGAAAAAAGGAACAGAGCTTCGGATGACGTCAAGCTATATAGCCTCTGATTAGTCATCCGATTGGTCACAGGTGTGACTCTGTTGGTATTACAGCTTG